AGCACATCTTCCATGTAAGCAGGTGTGTTTGCGTGTGGAAAGTAGGTAGCCAAATAGAGAACTAGATAGACATAGAGATAGGTTAGATGGACAGACTGGCAGACGGGTAGGCAGATAGTGACGGATAGATGATAGATAGGTATAGATGGGCTCGGTGCCTGTTCTGTACAGCTGATGAAGCTGCGTTGTCCAGACTGAAGGTGTCATGAACATAATATACATATACACTATGTGCATGCATACACATGTTCATTCGTACACACATACGCCTTCCGTGCCTATGCCTTACATCTGTGTCATCTTTGAGGCGACAGTGGAGTTTGTCGCAGTTTCCTGGACTTCGAAGTGCTCATTATGTAACAGACGTACGGGTCTGAAGAGGTACTGGCAACTGTTTCTTGGGGTTCCAAACCGAATGTGTAATATGCCCAACAAGCTATTCTTGAAGGCTTCTGGGAATACATCTCAGCCCTGCAACCCCAGCAGCCCCAAACCATAAGCCTCACCGGCCCCAGAAATCGAGATGCGCCCTGAACCCATCATCTTATCCCGTATGTCTTGCTGCTTGAACCGATAGCCCAGCATGCAATCCACTCTGGGAGTAGAGACCATACAGTACTACATCCATTATCCCGTCTACATTTAGAAAGATATGCGCGTGTGTCCTGTGATATAAATATATATATATATACACATAATCGACACATACTGTATATGTTTTCTATACATACATATGCATATGCCATATATGTTTGTATACGTACACACACACACACATATATATATATATATATATATATATATATATGTATATATGCATAGGTAGAAGATCTAGAATGTGCGTGTGTACATGTATATATATATATATATATATATATGTATATACGTATATGTATACATGTACATGTACATATATATATATATATATATATATATAGATGTGTGTGTGTAACACACACACACACACACGCGCTCGAGCTAGCTCACATACTCCGTATAATTATCAGTCCAGACATGTACCTGAAGGCCCTTTCAGCATCCATATTTACGTATGTACACCTGTGAATGTGGCGTCGAGTGGCAGAGAAGGTAGGGTGTCCGGACACATTGTACCGCCACTCGCGTGCCCAGTAGATCACTTCAAAATTCCCCAGTTGGCGGTTCATGGATAGTTATGAGCAATGTGGTAAATTATCAGTTGGGAGCTCTGCCTTATTACCTACAGTCAAGGCTATCTACGACCGTGACCAGAAATGTGATCCTCCACAGCCTTGTGAACCCATTACTTGTGGAGGGTCGGGGGACTTGGTAAGTGGGTAATAAGTAGACTTATAAGTACCCTTGAGGGACCCTATTTGGGGTTATGATTCTACTAACTCTATAAAATAAGTACTTACTAAGTCCCCCGACCCTCCAAGCAAGCAACGTCCCAGGAGCGGAGCGCAACGGTCGCGGGATCCAGGCTAGTGGCACAGCCTTGCTCGAAGGATCAGGGGCCGTAGGTAGTGCTTACCTTAACCTACCAAAACCCACTTTTCGTGGGCTCTTATCATAAACCCTACTTTTTTAAGGAATATGTAGGGACCCTAAATACAAACAAGTAGTTTTCGGTAGGTTAAGGTACCGTGATTGGGTTTGCCCTACTTCCCCCCAGGCCCACGGATGATACCTAAGCTAGTAGCCCTTAGGGTCCATATATAGGGGTTTACGAAAATTTGTGGTACCTTATTTTGAGGTCCTTGTAAAAGGATCCTACTATTTAGGGTATTATATTGGGGTCCCCTATTTTGGGAAATTCCCAGACAATAACACAGTATTTACGTGGACCTTAAAGTGCATGAGCGCTTTCGGTGCACAGGATATGTAACAAGCGTACATGGGCTCCCTAGATCCTAAATCTAGTTAGTTACTAACCCCAGGGTTCATGTGCCCAATTTGTATATACCTTGGCCACAAAGTATCCAAAAAGGGATCACTTCAAGGCCAAAGTATATACTATGTGGGTACATGCCCTGAACCGTTATAGTAGGCCGTATATTAACCCTCATAAAGCGAACCCTTATAGTACATAGCCCTTAAAGGAATCTTGACGATGCGTAGACCCCTACTTGGAGGGTCGGGGGACTTAGTAACTAGTTAGTTTAGAGACTCATAAGTACCATAACCCCAATTAGGATCCCCTTTTGCGGTACCTATAACTCTACTTACTAACTGCTTACTAAGTCCCCCGACCCTCCAAGGAGGGTAGTTATGTATTGCGCGAGAGAGGACCGGATCCTGTGACAGAGTGGTGTTGGACCCGGAAAGATCCCGGAACCGTCAAAGCGATGAAGGTAGGTGGGGCTATCCCCAAATACGGAGTTATTTATATGAGGGATCCTTGATCCTACCTTCCTTCTTCCCACCTCTTCAGGCCTCCGACACCTCGTAACCGTACCACTCCAAAACCTGTGTTCTTTCTGGCGCCTTCTAGAATGTCGGGAATATCCGTACACCCTTCAGACTGTTAAGCCCAATAAAGCCAACTCCTGATCCCCTAAATCCCACACTATAAGTCCCCAGCCAGACCTTAACTTAACTCGCATGCCCAGTAGTACCCTTATTCCCTTTTTGTAGTCCTAGGTTCCTTATAAAAGTTACCGAGTACCAAAAAAGGAGCCCCTTTTACTCCTAGGTTACTGGGCATCCTAGGTAAAACTCCATGCTCCTTCTTTACAGACTCCTCGTCTCCCTCGTGTGGGCTTCAGCCTTGTCAGGTTTGGAAAGATGGGGCGCGGTACAAAGTGGCAGCCTCAAAAAACAACTGAGCTTCAACCCTAAACGTCAGTGACACTTTGATAAAACCCTCAACCTCAGTGAGCTAAAGGCCTATGCACTCTAGAAAGAAACCCTGGGTTCTGAGTTGCGGGGAGTCCAGCCTATACCTTACTACTGGGTGGATGGGTAGATGTATTTTGCTTTGTGTCCAGGGTTAATTAGCACGTTTGAAGCCAGATCTCAAGCCACTATAGGCAACTTGTCTGCTGGTGGTTCCTCGCATCCGGCTTATTGGCTTACTTGTCACAATTTGTCTGTTAAAAGTCTTGATTTGTCTGTTAAAAGTTTTGATTTGTTTTTTTAACAGTTTTATTTGCCTTTAAAAGCTGTTAATTGGCTTTATTTGTTTTAAAAGAATATTTGCCTTTAAAAGTGCCTGAAAGTTATTTCAAGGTATTTAAAAGCTTTTGAAAAGGTAATGTATAAACTCCTTATTTGTCTTTATCTATCTCTATTTGTCTTTATTTGTCATGGTTTGTACGTTTGTCTTTATTTGGCCTTGTGTTTATATAAGCTTTGAGAGGAACTAAACCCCGAGAAAGTAAACCCAAAACTCAGCGCAATGAATATTGTAGGAACCCTGAGAAATAGTATGTGTAAGTACTCGGGCTAGTCTATCACAGCATACAGATGTGGAGGTTGGTGGTCAAGCTTGTTTTCACACGCCCGTGTTACAGACGAGTTCTTCAACGCCGGGGATCAAGTTTGGGGAGCCACGTCATGACGACGGTTTGCACCTGGTACGCAATACCTCAACTTGTTGACGGTCCTGTCTTGCCTCGGCTTACCTCATATGTGTGTGTGTGTGTGTGGGTGTGTGCGTGGTGGGTGCTTGTCGTGGCCCCGCTGGGTGGATGTTTTGACTGGTCTCACTCGTGAGAGAAACATGTCATGAACAACATTTGTTTTACAACTCAGTTTTGAGAATTCGCTTTCATAAACATTTCATGTTTTATGTGCCTGAACATGTCTTGATTAGAGCAGTTTCAACTAAATGCACCGGAAGCCGTGGGCCGTGAGCTTCGAGTCCACAAGAAATTTTGGTTTCATGGGCTGTGAGCTTCGGGTCCACAAGAATTTGTTTGTTTCAGCCTCGAGGCCGTACGAGTGAGGTCGCAGGCTCCCAATCTATTTTTCTAGTTGGGGGAGTGGCAACTCCATAAGTGCGTTGTCAGCATGGCCTCTGACGGCTCGTCGCTGGTCCGACGACGACACGAGGCTTGTGGTCTGTGAGCCAGTGACACAGGAGATCCTTGTTGCTGAAGCAGCCGGCCGAGCGATGGCTCGTGAACTTCAATCTCGACCGGTGCAGATCATTGACACTCCGTTGTCTGGCGAGGCTGGCGTCTTGAGAGATGGTGCCCTTGAGTGCAGTGTTTCGTGGACAAGTGACATGTCTTTGTCTGCATTGCTGAATGCTACTGCAGCTACTTGTGAACAGCCCGAAGGATTTTGGCAGGCCTGGCAGGTCACTGGAGTTTCTGTGCAGTTGCGCTCAATACTTGGCGTTCTTCTGGTTGGCCCTTAGGACTTTTAACTCTTTGGGTTCGTACAATTGTGGGTTCCCAATTATGATTTTAGTGTAATATACCACGAAAACCCATTCGAATTATTAAGGCGCCTATATTATTAGATGTTAGGGCTGTACTTTATGTCTTTGGTGTGTAGGACCTTGTGTTTCATTCAGCCCTCAAATTAATATGGAGGCGTTAATTCCTTAATACGTACCTATACTATTTTGGGAGTTCCTTTTATCTCAATTATGGTATAGTGGGCCCCCAAACCCTTTTCTACTTATTCAGGCCCCTACATCTCTAAATCCCTTATCGTAGCATTATAGTACGTACCCGAATAGTATCCCTTAAAGGAACCCTAAACCCTATTCTACTTACTAAAGCCCCTCAACTTACCAAGGGCTGCTGGAGCAACAACATGGCGAGCGGTATGGGCATGTGGCAGCCTCAGACCCCTAAACCCTAAACCCTAAACCCTCACTGTTTTTAATCTCTTTGTACGTTTGTCCTAGTGTCTTACCTACGCTACCGTATGGCTCAAGTATGAAAAAGGATTCGTGCGTCCTGCTGTTAACAATAGGTTATCAGCCGTAGCTTGTATAGCTCTTCGTAGTGCAATGGACACCACAGCTCCCACAAATCCTGCAGGTGTGCCTATCTCCGAACTAGGTGATGACGACACGGAGTCCGCCCGCTCGAGATCGAATCTGGGCGCAGAGCTTCCGGTTGTCACCGCCCGGGAGGGTCGGGTAGCTCTCACTGAGCAGACGCTACGTTCGCATGTTGGGTCCCTTGGACCTCAACCAGCATACGTGCCATCGCGAGCGTCGCTGACACATCAGCCCTCACCCACAGTCGTAGGCTATTCTCCGGTGCCTCCATCGCACACCTCCGTTCCAACTGTCGTGAATCAGTTGTATCAGCATCAGCAAAACGTTCTGATCAGTGCGGATCCTGCACTGATAATGGATACAGCAAATGCAAGACATGCTGAAGCCGTTCGCAACATCCAAAGTGAAAACAGGGAGCAAATTCTCGCTTTGGAAACAGGTGCCATGAGTCAAGTCGCTCAGCTGAGGCTTGAGCATGCACAGTTGCAGTCAAAAGCCAGAGCCTGTGAAGAACAGGCTAATCAAAACATCCATGCTGGTCGGCAGGCCGTAGCCCAGTACCAAATTGAGGCTGAAACAGCCGCTGCTGAAGCTGAGCAGCTAAGGCAGCGCCTCCTATCCGCTGAACAGACAGCTGCGAATGTTGTCGCCCAGGTGGAAACCGAGGCTAATCGCAGGTTGCAGGCTAATCAAGCCGACGTGTCAGCTCGTGACAACGAGCTCTCTCGCCTCAAGGGTGAGATGCAAGAGATGATGAGGATTCAAGCCCTCAACATGGAGATGCTGCAAAAGGACAATGCCGAGCTAAGAACACGCTTGGCGGGAGCCAAAGCTGACCCATTGGGCAATGAACCGGAACAGGCCGGGCCTCCTGGTCTAGGACCCTTTCCGATCCATACTCCTCCTGGCGAACCACTTGAAGCGCCTGAAAAGAGCGGTAAGAAGGAGAAAAAGAGCAAGAAATCCAAAAAGCACAAGAAAGATGATTCGTCGGATTCATCGTCTTCTTCCATCGACAACAAGATCCTTCTAAAGATGCTCAAGAAGATGGTGAAATCTAAGAAGTCTGATAAAGAGGATGATGATGATGAAAAGGGTTCCTCGAGTACCAAACCCAAGGTTAAAGAGGCTGAGAAAGTCGTGTTTCCCAAGTTTCCCCAGCCTGAGCAGTATAGAAACTGGCGCATAAGGGTCCGTGAAGCCATTGTCGCTGCATCGGATTCGCCTGACAAGGCGCACGCCTGGCTCAGTAAGGTCTGGGAGAAGGACGCCGACGAGAAAGAGCTTCGCGACCCGGAGGGGTTTAGCACCTTGGATGCCAAGATCCTTTCTGGGCTCACCAATATCCTTGAGGGTGATTTCGCTAGGCAGACTGATACCTTCAAGGAGACCGAAGCTCACGCCGGAAGGCTGGTGAGAGGAAGACAGTTGCTGTGTCGTCTTCACAACCGCTTTGCTACCAATGCACTCCATGGCTCTGTGTATGACATGGAGGACCTGATGAATTGCATCATGGTCAACGAAAACCTCACCACCTTCATTAGAAACTGGGATACGGTGCTATCAGGGATTCCCAATCCTCCAGACAACAGCGTGCTTGAACCCCTGTTCCATAGACAGGTGAAGAAGTGCAAGGATATCGATCACGACATCCAGGTCTATGAACGCGCACTGGAAGGTAGCGAGCAAAGGTCCTATCAGTTCCTGTATAACGCGGTTGCTAATCATTTGAAACGCAAGCGATTGCAGAAGAACCGCGAGCGCATTGCTCGGCAAACAGGTGTACCTACTGCGCCTGCTGCCGCACCGGCCCCCAAGCGTATTCCCAAAGGGTATTGCGTTGATTGGGTCAAGACCGGAAGTTGCAAGAGAGACAATTGCCCGTACAAGCACCAACAGCCTAGGGGGCGTTCTCACACTCCTGCCGGAGGTCGTACGCCTACTAGGACCCCTAGCCCGGGAGGGAAAGGTAAAGGCCAAAAGCAGGAATGCAAATTCTTCATGCAAGGAGTTTGCAATCGTGGAGACAAGTGTAACTTCCTCCACAACGGCCAACCTGCTGCAGCCGCCCCGGGCAGCTCAGGTGCACGAGCGAGCAGCGGCGAGAAGAAGGAAAAGAAGCACAAGAAGAAAGAGAAGAAAAGTGGTAAGGGCCGCAAAGGCTCCAGATCTAGCTCCAAGAGCTCTTCAAAGAGCGGCAGCCGAAAATCAAGTAAGTCTAGCCAAGGCTCGAAGGGTTCGCGTGGCTCAGGTCGCAAGGGTGGTGCGCCCTCCGTTCCCGCTGCAGTTTGCTTATTGGGAGCAATGTTGGCTGGCTCAGCAGCCCAAGCCGATGCATTCACGTTCCGGAAGGATATGTTGAGCAATGTCGATGTTTGCACCCCGCACTATCATGTCGCACTGGCCGCAGTGTCGTTCAATGACACTACTGAAAGTTTCACATACCAAATTCCGAAAGGGAATGGCCTCTACCCCCTCGATGATCGCAATAAGCCAAGGGAGTATAGCCAAGTATATCCCGCCAACAGCCATTGGAAAGCCGATCCTGATTCCGTGAAGGAAGCTCAGGTAACCGCTAAGATGTTGCAAGCTGTTGTCAGTGATGAGGTCAAGGGCTGTAGACCGCAGTGTAAGTTCAAGTGCAACACTGAGTTTGGATGCAAACATTGCATCCCGATTGGTTTGAAGTTCAACTGTGCCGCACCCGCCAGCAGCAAATCGCCGTGTCTGTGCATTGAATGGATTGCTGACACTGGCAGTGCGCAAGATCTCATCGCCCAGCGGGAGCTTGGGCAGGCGAAGGCCTACGAGTCACCTGCGCCCATTCAAATGATGACTGCAAATGGGCCAAACTCCGCTTCAGAACAGTGTGATGTTTCTGTTGACTCCATTGGGATTGAGGTCAAACCATATGTTCTTCCTGATACCCCATCTGTCCTTTCAATAGGACAGCGATGCATGGAAGAGGGATTCGATTTCATCTGGAGGGCTAATTCACGACCGTACCTTAAGACTCCCGAAGGGAAGAAGGTCTATATGGACGTTAAAGATAACGTGCCGTACTTGAAGTCCTGGCATGAAAACATCAGCGTCCCTGCGCGTCGGGCCTCGTCCGGTCCTGGTAAGACGCAGATCATCGAAAGCCCCTCCGCGGCCGGAAGGCCAGCGCCGGAAGAATCATCCGAGGCTATCGCAAAGAAGCTTCGAGAGTCTGGCGACTTCTCACATGCATCATGTTACTCCTTGTTAAACAAGGTAGCTTTCAAGGCCTCTAAGAAGCAGAGGTCTATCATCGCCAAGGACCCAAAGTCCTCTAAGAAGTCCGAGTATGTTGTGCTCGGAGCCTTCTCGCACGGCGGGATGCAAGGCATCACTAACCGCAGTCACCAAAATAAGGAGCTAATGAAGTTCCTCAATGAGTATCTGAAACATCATGGTGCCATGGGCCCCAGCTCTTCACTGTGCATTAATCACGGGTCCAGCGTCAAGGTGCACAAAGATGCTCACAATCATCGTGAACATAAGAACAACACTATGTGTTTGGGTGACTTCGAGGGAGGCGAACTTTGGATTCATGATGAAGAAATCAGCAGGGAGAACAAAGATTATGCTTCTGTTCGCACGCCTGACGGCAGTAAGCTGAAAGGCAAAGTTCACAAGTCCAAGCATCGTATGCTTACGTTTGATCCCAAGACGTACCACTGCGTCCGTCCCTGGAAGGGTGACAGATGGAGCATCACATCATACGTGAATCGTGCTGTGCACAAGCTTGATGCTACACAGCTTGCGAGACTTAAAGAGTATGGTTTCAACGTGCCATCTAAGGTCTCAGCTCCGTCTTTGATCGAACCCGGTGATGAGGAAACGTCTTTATATGACCTTGTTGCCGGAACACCTCCAGTTGAGAAAGGGGTTGAACTACGTGCGAAGCCCAAGGTCAAGACTAAGGGTAAGCCTGAAAAAGAAAAGAAAGTTGAACCACCCAAAGAACCTGATCCTCCGCCTACTTCGAAAGGAAGTGGTCATGATGACGAAGACGATATGGATTACCTCAATCGTATCCTCGAGGAGGAAGGTTCTGATCTGGAAGACATGCCTAAGGATGATCCGGGTGCAGCTCGCGCTTCTGACGGAGCCGCTGTCGCCCCAGATGGGGATTCCGAGGGCGATGGGAAGAAGAGAAAACGGGGTATAGAAGTCCTGAAAGCTGAAGCTAAGTCGCTGCATCATATGATGTCGCATCAGCCGAAGAATCCGTTCTGTGATATTTGTCAAAGGGCTAAGATGTACAAACCTCCTTCATATGCGACGGGAGGGGTGCGTACTATTGAAGCCAAAGACTTTGGTGACCACGTTACAGCAGACCACATCGTGCTCTATCGGGACAAGGACACCATCATAGAGGACTCCCGGCTGGCGCTGGTGATTAAGGACGTTGCAACAGGCTTTTGCTATGCCTACCCCTCAGCTCTCAAGTCAGCTGAAGAATGCACTGTTGCACTTCAGCACTTCACGTCTCCAAAGGACGAAGTGAAGAATTTCTACAGTGATCGCGCTCCAGAACTCAAGACTGCTGCTAAAACCATGAAGTGGCGTCATGAGAAGTCTAAGGCCTACTTGCATCAGTCAAATGCGATTGCCGAAAGGCAAGTCCGGTCTGTGACCGAAGGCACTCGAACCAACCTTCTGCAGGCTGGCGTCTCGCATGTATATTGGCCATATGCGTTGGAGCACTCGTGCACCGCATTCAATATCAGTCATGTGCATGAAGTGAAGTACACACCCTGGTTCAAAAAGATTCGGTGACAAGTTCCCGGGAGAGCTTATTCCGTTTGGGTGTAGAATCGATTACTGGGTTGGTCCCAAATCTACTCGCAAGAACCGAGAACGTTTCGCTCCTACCTCCGAACCTGGTGTTTTCCTTGGTTATAGGTTTCAACCTGGGATGAAATGGCGCAAAGAAATCGTGGTGTTACCTTTGAAGGAACTGAACCGTAACGATTTTCATGAGTGCCTGAATCCCATCAGTGCCTACCAGTTCAAGGTTCCGGGGGGAGACTTCACGTTTCCTATGAAGGAGAGGTACGAGCGCATTCAGGCTGGATTCTCGTCCGAGGCCGTTGAGGGCCCTGTGTCCCAATCTCTCGAAAACCAGGATGCCGAAGCACAGGATGAGCAAGTTGGCGATGATGCCGCTCCTCCTATCGCTGACCTGGCGGTCAAGCCCCCTGAAGTCATCGATCCCAAAACGGGCAAGATTGTTCCTTTACCGGAAGGTGAAAGGTTCTATGATTCAAGTGGTGTGATTGGCCGAAGATACGGGGTGACAAGGGGATCCAAGAAACCTGATTCCATACCTAGTTCTATCTGGGTTAACTTGTCCAAGAGACAGAAAGAGAAAGCCATTGATGATGAAGCACGAAAGATTGCTCTTGCAGAGCTTGACGAAGAAGTTGGTGGCTCAGCAAGCAGTAGTGCTAAGCCTTCTGCCGCCGCATTGCCTGATAAAGACTGTTGGAAGATAGAGGGGAACAAACTCACTAGGTTCCATTTTGTTCCTAGAAGAGAGCTCTTCTCACCTGATCTCACCGATTGCCCTGTTGACCTTAAGCAAATTGGCAAGGTCCGCAACTCGGTTATCTTCCCAGTCGGTGGAGTTGATATCGTCAACGATCAGGACGATTGGCGCAACGTTCGGAGGCGTAATAAGAAGACATCGTTCAAGTGGATCGGTAAAACCGAGTTTACTATCACCCCACAAGTTCCTGCCTCTGGCGAGGTCAGCGGGTCACGCCCTGAGTTTCCCGCGATGCCAGTATCGCTCGACGGAAGTCCTGAGCACAGAGAAAAGAGTTTGCCTAACTGCCCCACGTCGCTCGATGAGATCAATGAGCTTATGGCTATGGTTGCCAGACCGGTGGGCAGAAAGGAGATTCTTAGCAATCCCAAGGCCCAAGCTGCGTTAGATGTTGAGTGGAACAAGCTCATGCAGAAGAAGGCTTGGGACATGGCTTCTGTTCGGGAATGGGAAGAGGTTTCTAAAGAAGCTAAGAAAAAGGGTAAGAAGGCCCATGTGGGGAAGGTGTTCGAAATTTGCGTGGAAAAGGGAAGTGAATTGCCTGCTAATGATCCTTTGAGGAAGTTCAAGGGAAGGACGGTTTTTCAGGGTAATAATGTGCGCGATGAAAACTCCGATTCCGCACTGTTCTCTGAATTGGGGTCCAGCCCCGCAACCATGGAAGCAGGAAAGGCCCTTGATGCCTATGGTCACGCTCCTGGAAATGAGTGTCAACAGGCCGATGGGAAACAGGCCTACACCCAAACCACCTTGAAGGGTGCTGACACTTGGGTTCGTCTTCCTAGAGATAGATGGCCTAAGGAGTGGATTGGTAAATACAAGGATCCTGTTGTCCGCCTTCACCTTGCACTGTATGGCCACCCTGATAGTGGAGGCTTCTGGGAGCAGCATTGCGAGCGCATGCTGAAGCAGGTAGGGTTCCAGCTGGTGTTTTCAGCAGCATGGCCCTCAGTGTTCTTTCATCCTAAGTTGAAGCTGCTTCTCGCCGTTTATGTTGATGATTTCAAGATGGCGGGTCCTAAAGAGAACATGACCCGTGGATGGGAACTTATCGGGTCTAAGATCGATATGGATACGCCTACCCCGGTCGGAAGATATCTGGGTTGTGATCACATCACCAACACTTCCACCCTCAGGAAGGCCGACCATCCTTTCGCTCACGTCTTTGACAAGACCGTTCCCGATCCGGCGGCGAAGCCTGCTAGTGTTGCAGCTAAAGAAGACTACACTGAATCGTTCCCCGAAGAAGGTGTAATGGTTCGACATCATTGTCAGCCTCGCAAAGCTCTTTATCAACCCCGCGAAGCGGAAGCTTCAGCTTATGGGCTGGGGCATCACAGGTGTACCCATCTCACTGATGTTGGGAAACCCGATGTCGTTCACGAATTGTGGGATGATAACGGTAACCGCGCAAAGCGGGGGGAGCTGTGGACAGGTACCACTTATATTTGTTCTGGTTCCCATGATCGCGCCAGTGCTATGGCCGCTGTGCAACGCGTCAGGGATAAGAATGAAGCCAAGAAGGAAGCTAAGAAACAAGCGTTCTATGATATCAACCAATTGGGTGACAATCAAGGTTGCATGTACAAGAAAGTTCGTGAGGTCATCTATGACATGTCGTCCTTTCTGTAACAAGCCATAGACAAGTACAAGCAACTTGCTGGTCCTGAGTACCACAATCTCAAGAAGGTCAGCACACCCTTTTATGATGATAAAATCGCTCGCCCAGTGGAAACTGAGGCCGAAGCAAAAGGCAAGCTGGCTCCTATCGCCAGTCGAGTCCTCATGAAGTTGCTCTTTGCAGCAAGAATGGCCAGATACGATCTGCTTCGAGCCGTTCAGGGGTTGGCTAGTAGGGTCACCAAGTGGTCTTCCGACTGTGATAAGGCTTTGCATAGGCTTATGTGCTACGTGAACAGCACCAAGCACTATACCATGAAGTGTTTTATAGGAGATAAGCCTTCTGAATGCAAGCTTTGGTTGTTCGCTGACAGCGACCATGCTGGTGAGCACGACAACAAATCTACGTCCGGAGGAATCCTGGTACTTGTTGGTCCCAACACCTACTACCCTCTTGCCGCTTTTAGCAAGAAACAAACGAGCACTGCACTCAGTTCCACTGAAGCAGAGGTTGTGTGTGCTAACGTTGCATTGAGAGCCTTAGGCCTTCCTTCATCCGCACTTTGGAGTGTGCTCCTGAACGCGGGGGGGGGGGTACTGCAACGAAATCGCCCACTCCTCTGACGAGAGAGTCCAAACCATTTGTTCCTAAAACCACTCCCTTGCCCGAGTTTGGAAAGATCACTTTCACCGGCCTTCAAGAGCTTGACGATGGGCGTGTGCTGGATGTGTACAATAAGATTAAGGTGATTCCACCACCCGATAATCTCACTTCGCACCCCATTCGTAATGTTTGGCTCCTTGAGAAAGGTAAGTGGTTTGCGTACCAATCAGATGTGGCTTGGGAAGAAAGGGACATGCTTGATGAGATCCTTGAAAAGGAATATGAAGCGGGCATCTGCGTATATCGTAGATCAGTCCGGGACTATCGCCGCCATGCGGAAGCAGAGGCATACCTGCATCGTGAGACCGATGGCATCAGGAACACGGGGGGTGACTATGACAATGCACCTACCAGGAATGATACCGATATGGGGTTGATAGTGTCGGTCCCTCACTCTGTTCAGCCTGTTGTTCTTGAAGATAACCAGGCCACGATTCGCATTCTTGAGTCAGGTAAGTCTCCCGCATTCCGGCATGCTGATAAGACCCAACGCCTCAATCTAGGCTGGATCTCAGAGCAGTTCAAACGAAAGCATTATGAACTTGCTTATATCAACACCTTGCTCCAAGCTGCGGATGTCCTAACAAAACCATTCACTAGTGCTGAGAAGTGGAATAGAGCACTACAATTGATGTGCGTGGCACCGCACAAGCTGCCTGCAAGGAAATCGGCAGCGGCCACCAGCGATTCGATCGCCCGGCAGACGCCGAGGCCCGAAGCCGCATACAAAAGGATTGTGTTCGTTGTGGATTGTTCGCAGGGAACTCATTCTGCTTGTGACGTTGATATAAGGTATAGCCCCGATACAAAGGTGGTTAAGGTTAGAAATTCTAGTGAGCTTGATCCTCCTGAGACTAGGAAGGCAATCATCCAGTTAGCCAGGGATTACCACAAGGCTGGCGCCTCTGTACTTCTTTGGTTCCATCAACGGAATCCGGGGGGTACAGACAAGGATCAGGACGAGCTCAATAGCATCATGTTCTCCAAGACTTGGGCTTCGTTTGTTGACATCGCCGATGCTCTTAAGAAGTACAAAGCGAGGTTCATCATTACGTGGCCCAGGGACAGCGTGTTCTGGGGATGGCAGCGTGTCAAGAGGGTACTTGATGGCTATGGTTTTAGCAAAACTCACCTTAAGCCGATGGTTGAAGCTGCTGACTTTAAGCCTGAAGTCATTGCCCACTACACGTTAGCCTCCAACACGAAGCGTCTTGTTGAATTCTTGAGACGAGGATTGAAGGATAGTGCCAAGAAATCAGAGTCCCAACACTACTTCAAAGGCACCCTTACTGCGATCCTTGGTCGTGTTTTTGAAGATCATGAAATCCAAAAATCAGAGAGAAACCAGACTCACGTTGTAGCTGTTGCGCTCAAGATTCAAGCATCCCCAACGTCCTCTCTTTCGCTCCTTCCCATTGCGAACATGTCCTCTGCCCAGAGCACCCGTGACGCTCTTGCACAGGGAACCGCAGCCCGGGAGGGTGTGCAGACTGCTGAGGAGTTGCAGTATGCAACGGCCGATCGTGAGGAACGCATTCAGGCATATCGTGCCGCACTCAAAAGTGCCGACCGCCTGGCTGACGCCATGGCCGGAATCACCCACCTTGCTCGGCATGCTGACCTTGCTGAGGTGTTTGATGAACCCGGGGCTGACGCCGACGGTGATGAAATGTTCCTTGGAATCATGACGGTGAAGGAACGGCGCGACATGCGTGTGCATGCGCCGAATGCGCCCTGGACTGCACTGTACGAAGCCTGGTTCCGTCATTATGCTTGCCGCCAGGGCAACCCGTACATGCAGGACCAACGCAACACCTCCCTGACGGGATGGTCAGCCCTCATCCTTCAGCACATTAAGGATTTGGGTATCCTCGGATGGGGTGTTAACTTCGAGAATGCCATCAATAAGACGGCAATGTATGACATTTGCCATAGGGTCCACATTCTGTCAGAGCGTAGCGGTACCTTCCCACTGTTTCCCGCGAGCTCAGCTCTCTTGGACGGGCTCTACAGCCCAGCCTTGGGCAGGATTTCCGCGCCCCCCACGGCGGAAGCCGGTGGTTTCGACGGCACCGACATTCTTGTGGCCGGGGACTCATCCTTGGCATTGTGCTGGATGCAAGGAAAACGGTGTGTGAAGAAAACCACTATCTTCCCGATGATGCAGGACATAGTCCGCGCGAACCCAGAGTTCGGGGAAGTCACATGCCTGATGGAGTGGGGCAAAGGTCTCGACAGGATCGTTGATGTGATCGAGACTCACCTTGCCTCCGCTCCCCCGGAAGGGGTAGAGCTTGTGGTTTCCTGGGCCGGCAACGATGTGTATGGTAACTACGGTTACCTTGGCTACACTTGGCACTTGACGAGCCAGTGGGTCAAGAGGCCGCAGCGTGAGCTGGACGAGATTGAACATTGGCCCGCAAAGCAGCGGCTGATTGTCGAGAAGAGCGTCCGCCGCCTCATCGAGCTGCGGAAGCACACTCGTGTCAGAGGCCTGACGGTTCTCTTGGGAGATGACAACGGTCGTTTTTACAACCTGCCCAGCGAGTATGATGAAGAGATGGGTAAGTACGCCCGGCAGTTGCTGAGTGCAGGCATCAGCGTCGTTGATCCATCAAGTCTCCTGATGAGGACCACGCGTCCTGACGGGTTCCACATCGAGGTCACTGACCCGAATGTGACTGCATCCTTGCAGTGGTGGCATGCTCTCACCAGAGCCGTGTCCACCGACCGAATCATCACTCGCCGGAAGGCTGAGTTCGTCGCCAATCAGAGAAGTATTGTGTTCCGCAATCACTTCGAGCTTGGGAAGGCCGAAAAGACGCTCACGGTGCCGCCTGCTAGCCAGCGTATCCTTGAGCCATTGGACCACGCACCCAAGCTTCCGGCGGAAGCCAGGGAAGAGGATGAGCAGATCGTTCTCGGTCACCCTCTTCTGATGATGATGCCTGAGCCGGTCGACGATATCGATCTCAAGCCGGAAGGCTCTGAAGAGGTGACCCAGGTTGAACACGTTCTATTCAGCCGTGATGTTGGGTCAGAGCTGCCCCTCGACCTTGTCGCCATCGATCCTGAGGCGCAAGAGGACTTTGCCTTTACGGTGGCACGTGATGTCATCAACACCACGAATGTGCTTATCCCTGACGGAGACGCCATCGAGAAGGAGGCCACTGACGGCATCCCCACGGTGTGGGACGAACCCCCTGAGGTTCCGGCATTGGAAGATGACCGCAGACTCCCGAAAGGCACAGTCAGGTATTCGCAGTCTCTTCGCAAAGTCGGGTCGACGCCCAAGTCGAAACCCGATCCTGCCAAGCACAGGAGAATCTCGGAGACAGTCGATACCGACGACGAAGAGGATGTCGTTATGGACCTGGATCCTGATGACACCGCTCAGCCGTCGGAAGACGCCGCTCAGCCGTCGGAAGACGTTGCTGTTGACTTCGAGCCATTCTTTGAGTGGTGGGGCTATGAAGACATCCCCGATTTTGCCCCAAGCCATCGCTACATGACAGATGGCAAGCGGCGAGCATTGAGCAATGCCATGAGCTTTTTCCTTCGCGGCTTCGCGAATAGTGCAGAGTCACAGGCACAACGGCGGCCACCGCCCATGATGACCTTCGACCCCGCAACACGGGAGGTCGAATGGGATCACTTCAAAGAGCAATTGGGCAAACAGTGGCGCGGTCTCCGGTCGGAAGACGTCATGGAAGTGGTGAAGTATGGGAACCACGACAAAGATGACAACGGACGCTTTGAGTTGCGCGTCCTCCACTTCATCGACCACACTGAGATTCATGGAATCCGTGCATTCCAAGGGCACTGCCGCGATCTCATCTCTGACGAGACTGATCTTGTGGATATGCGCAGTGACAGCTATGCTTTGTGTGACGACTACAGGCCCACCATGCATACGCGTCCTGCCGTAGGAGTCACTGGCCAAATCCACAACGACTGGGTCAGAATGCATCCGATCGGATACCATGCGACCTATTGGAGCAATTTTTCCTATATCGTTAGTACCGGTCTCATCCCAGGCGGTGTCACCCTCGGCGGAAGCACGGGGAGAGCCTTCACAATGATGGCTTCCCTCCCTCAGTGGGAAAGGCCGAACAACGCAGGCCTGCGACCTGGCGCTGAGGTTGAATTCGCTATCGACCTCCAACTCGCGTGCCTGGAAGGGTGTCGCATTCTCCTGACAAAGAACAATGTTCTGCAGACCCCAGATTGGTTGTCCAATCGCTACCTTATGTTTGCTTACGACCGCAGAACCGGGAAACCCGTATGGTTTAACCGCTCGTACGAGCTCACGCGAGCTCGGGTGTCCAAAGCCCGTGATGCATATGTCAAGCGTCAGGAGATCCTGCCGGTCTTCAACCAAGACCTCATTGAACGCGCAGCGGAAGCTGACGCCAATTGCATCATGGATTACGTTGATCTCTGTTACCCGATCCACAATGAAAATTTGGACTGGGTTGAGTTCTTGGGTATGTTCATGGACATGCAGAAGCCCTCGCACTTGCGTGAGGTTGAGCAGTTTCATGTCGATGGTCGTACCATCTGCTTTGAGCAGGGTAGTCCGCTGGAGGGAACTCTGTGCGAATGGACTTTGGATGCCCAGGTCTACTTTTCGCCCATCGGGCTGACCACCGAGCGCCCGTTGCGTGTGGAGCGCAAGCACTACTCAGTGTGCCTCAACGTGCACTTCCCAAAGCTGCGCTGCCCTGATGATAGGTGCAGGTCTCAGATGCTTGACGGCTATCTCAATTGCCCCCGCTGCCAGCGAAAGTTGTTCAATCCGAGCGACATCTCCCACATTGCGGAGCTGGCTGATCTGCGGGCGGAAGCCGCGCAAGGTGGAGCTAACCACAGTCTCCACTATCTGGCACCAAGAGCAGCTATCAACACTCGTCCACACGAGCACACCCGTCAGGGGGCCGATGTTAAGAAAAGCATCGCTGCGACTCTCAAGGAGAAGTGCAAGAAAATGGTGGCGAAAGCAGCAGAAGGGACACATGGTTCCCTGCGCCAGAACCTGAAGTACGAACCCTTCAGCGCCTTCAATGTGTTTTCGAAGGGGATGACGGTGACTTCACTCGACGAAGTCGAGATGTTCGCGCGCTTGCGACTTCCCGCCCCGGGAACGGGGACGGAGGCAAAGAGAGGCTTTGCCGGATCTCATACATCCGATGCACGCACTGCTCTCATTTTCCCTCCCGTCGACGACATTATTTGCGGGGAGTACAATTACCAGAGGAACATCTTTCTCGAGCTGGCCAAGCACTGCTATTTCTGCTTCCAAGATCGCTTTTACTTGGTTCCTGAAATCGCCGTGTTGATCCGTGCCACTCAGTTGGCCTCTGAGGTCCGCAATCTGCGTCCTTTCACAATCCTCCGCCATGACGGCGTCGAGTACCAGCCCGTGACCGGGACTGTCCCTGAGATCATGGCCGACCTCGTCGGTTTGCTCCGCAACCATGCACATCGTGCTCTTACCAACAAGGAGCGTAACCAGCAACGGGTTACTGTGCAAGTCGGGATCGGGCAGACTCCCTTGGAGATTCCAGCATCGCTAGGAACTATGGGCAGGTCTCAGATGCTTGAACTTCTGGGCGGTACGCGGTTCAGTGTTGAGCGTACCCGCGGCTGGATTAATCGCGAGGTGGAAGACCGAATGGTCCGACATGGTGCCACTCCCATTGGCGCCATGCGTGTGCCGCCTCCACCGCCGTCACCATCCGGAAGGACTGGTCCTGACTCGTCGCTGCCTGCAGCAACACCCAGTGTTCGGCCTCCACCGGCTCCTCCGAGCCGAGGTCGCTCACCTGGCGGTGCAGCTTCGTCATCCACGGATCGTCCGATGAGCACTTCTGTTCCAAAAGCTGCAAAGACGAAGGCAAGGCCGGCATCTGCCCGAAGCATTACGCCGCCTCCTCCAAAACCAAGTGCCAACAGACCAGTGCAGCCGCCTTACCCGCCTACTGCAAAAGCTGTTCCGAAGGCTGACGCCGTTCGTGCACCTGAGGAATACATCACTGCAGATGAATGGGACAACTACTTTGCCGGCCGTGGCGAAGTCAGAGGCTTTGCTGTTGGCGATGCACCGGCTCCGGTTGCTGCCCCTGCTGGGCCACCTGCCACAGCCGCCGGAGGGCGTGCTCGCACTCGCTCACCGCGCCGCCATGACTATGGTGGTGGTCGAGACTATCAAGAGGCCGCGAACGACAGGTTGCGTCACCTGCGCCTGTGTGATGAGGCAATTACTCGAGAACCTGACGGTCACTCTCCCAGGCTTCCCAGCTGATCGCTTGAGGGACTGGACTGACCAGGATGGGAACGGATTCGATCCAACCCAACCAATGCCTCGCAATTGCACTCGCACTGATGCTTGGTATTGGGCAGTTCTCCGTGCCCGTTATCTTGAGGAGCTGTCGCCCAATGAAGTGCCTTTTGTGATTCCCGATTACACCGACCGGGAGGTCTTGGTTCAGCATCCAGTTGAGCAGATTGCCTGGTTCCTGCGTGGCTGGGAGGAGTTCCGCCAAGACTCCAATGGAGCATGGTACAGGGCATACTAGCCCATTGCATCCGACACCGGAAGGTGCTCCGCGTCTTGAGGGCACCGTGTCAGAAGATGCAAGAGCCGCACGCAATAGCGACTTGCAATTTGATTCGTTTTTCTGCAGCTCACCGCACTGACGTGCTGGTTCGTCATTCACAGCCATCGCATCGGCACATCCGTGCATCACCGCCCTGACGGGTTGGTTCTCTGACCTGCTTAGTGGAGTGATTCGAGCTCGCATTTCAACATCTTTTGCTAGCCTCGCAAAGCGAGTGCTGCCGACGTGTAGCGTAGTTCAGAGTTACGCCTCCTCCGCTGCGCTTCAATGCGCGGGGGGTGTTTTTAATCTCTTTGTACGTTTGTCCTAGTGTCTTACCTACGCTACCGTATGGCTCAAGTATGAAAAAGGATTCGTGCGTCCTGCTGTTAACAATACTCACCTCGAAGCTTTGCCTAAGACTCGATGTGCCCATATAGTCGGTCCCCACCCCAAGGGTCCAAAGCACCCAATAATCAGGTACTGGGTTTTAAGATAGTAGTTATGTAGGTTAGGATTTTGGAGAGTATATGATTATCATATACTTGGACCCTTGGGGTTAGGTTTGTGGAGTTTAGGCTTTCGACTGCACGGTTTGCTTCTTGGCCTTTTTTCAAGATGTCTGGTGATTCGACAATTTCCGAAACAAGGCTTCTGCGTAGGGTTCAGCGCCGAACGAGATCTAGGCGTTGAGGGTTTAGGGGTTAAGGGTTTAGGGTTTCTGGGAGCAGAGTTGAACCGGTTCAGTATGTTTTTTCATGAGATGCTGTAGCCGTTAAGTGATTCATCTCCCTCGCCACGACGGTGCCCTCGCCCGGCTTGCAGACCATACCCAGTGGGTCTTAGGTACCGATCTAGAGTAATAGTAGAGGGCTTTCGGAATGCCAGAAGCCCGGTTTTTTCGGTATCGGGTTGCTCTTCCGGAAACTCTTTGCCCTACATTTCTACTAATTAGCGTAAACCCGGTGACCTCAGGATAGGTTCTTCGGTTGATGATATAAATCCTGCATTACCCATAATAGGGAATATACCATAATTCCCAAAGTCTAGGGTCCTATTAAGGTCATGCATGATTTATATCATCAATCGTTTAACCCGAACGCCCCGACCCCTTTGCTCCTCAGGTTTCTTCACTCCAATGGTGCAGTGTACTACGGCCAGTGGCGGTGCCTCGCCTCGCAGAGGGCAAGCTTTGCTGTGGTATGAGCTTAGTTTTGGATCTCAAAATGCAGCTTTTTTTGGTAAAAAAGCATGTTAAAGCCGTCTATTATTTGTAGTCCTCGACCGCAAGGTCCGTGGTTTGGGGCTTTCTTGGGAGGTCGCGGATATCGGAGATCTTTGAGTCAGTGAGTGCTCAAAAGCCCCAAGGCCCGACATGAATTGAAAACTCCGGGGTGTTCTTTCACAGCAAAGGCCAACACGGGTTTATGGGTTTACGGTTTAGGTTAACCCTAAACCCTTATAAACCTTAAACCCGAAGCCCCTAAACCCTTAAAGGCCGGCAAGCAAAGCAGATATGTAGCCTGAAGGCCAGAGCTTTCAACTTTAAACGGCAAGACGAGAAGCCGTGAACCCTGCGCTAAAGTTTTCCACAGCCCCAAACAAAGCGTCTATCATGTTATCGTCGGTGCCGAAATCATGAAACCTGTGCGTCCCTAGCAGCTTAGGAGAAGCCCTGCCGAGACCCCTAACCGTACTCCTCGCCGCTCAATCTGTGAGGCTCTTTCAAGGCCAGGACCACCTAGGAAGATTGGTAAGCAGACAACCCGACAAAGGCTTTAATGCTGCGGAATTCTATACCCCCAAACCCTAAACCGCTTCGCAGAGTCCATCATACTCTTATATAATCCGCTATAATTCTATATAGTCCATCATAGTTCTTTATAACCCATCATTATTCTATATAGTCCATCATCATAACTCTTTATAACCCATCATTATTCTATATAGTCCGTCATAGTTCTATATGCCAGACAGCCCATAGTTTAGGATCCTCGAGGTAATGCCGGATTTGTACCATCGACAGTATGGTATATACTTATACCCTGAAGTACCCATATAGGAAGCCCCTTAAGGCCCGAGTATATACTAAAAGGGCACATGGAGCCTTAGGGAAAGAGAGGGCCCTTAGGGGGAGGTAGAACCCTAAACTCAAAGGGGAAAAGGAGGGACCCTTAATGGGGACCCCTACCCTGTATATCATGGGTATATAATAGCTATATTAAGGGTACATACCTAGGGGTCCTTATTAAGGGTCCCTCCTGCTACCCTTGGATAAACCTTAAGCCCGAAGCTTACAAACCGTAGTAACGAAGGGCACCCAAAACGAGGTAGAACCCTGAACCCTAAACCTTAGACCCTAAACCCTAAACCTTAAGTCCCAAACCTTAAACCCTCAACCCTGTAAACCCAAAGAAGGGCACCCAAAGCCTTAAGCCCTAAACCTTAAACCCCAACCTTAAACCTTAAACCCTAAAACCCTTTCAACCCCAGAGAAGGGCGCCCAAAACCTTAAGCCTTAAACCCTACAAACCTTTTAAACGAGGGCACCCGAAACGAGGCACAACCCTGAACCCTAAACCTTGGACCCTAAACCTTAAACCGTAAACCTTCGACCCTAAACCCTAAACCCTAAAAGAAGGGCACCCAAAACCTTAAGCCCTAAACCTTAAGCCCTAAACCTTAAACCTTAAATCCTATAAACCCCAAAGAAGGGCACCAACAACGAGGCACAACCCTAAACTCTAAACCCCAACTTTAAACCCTATACATATAAAACCCCAAAAAGATCCTAAACGCTACAAACCCTTTAAGGAAGGGCACCCAAAACCTTAAGCCTTAAACCTTAAACCCCAACCTTAAACCCTATACCCTAAACCCTAAATCCCCACAAACCCTAAACCTTAGGACCTTAAACCCTAAAGCGTGTAAACCGTTTAAGGAAGGGCACCTAAAACCCTAAGCCTTAGGCCCTAAACCCTATCCCTCGAAGGACCTCATAGTTAGGGCCTTAGACCCCTTAAGGACCCCATAATAAGGTCCCTGGAGGCATAGGGTAAACCCTAAACTACAAACCCCAAAGAAGGGCTCCCAAAACGAGGCACAACCCTAAACTCTAAACCCCAACTTTAAACCCTATACTTATAAACCCTAAAACTTAGATCCTAAACAAGGGCTCCCAAAAATCTCGAGGTACAACCAGGCCCACGGTTTGGGCGTCTACCGCGACGCGGATGGCGCCACCTATGCAGGCGGGGAGAGTTTTGGGGAGGGCGTAGCGTCCTTCAAGGATGAGTTATAGGGTCCTTTGAGGGATCTACATAAGGGCTCTATAAGGGTTCCTTTAAGGGATCTATAAGGGCTCCATAAGGGTTCCTTTAAGGGACTATCAGAGTCTAGGTTACTGAGCGGAAAGTACTACAGTACTCCGTTTGTATAGCGCCACAAACATTCCTTCAACAGTAGTAGAGAGAGTTCGTTGTAGCAAGAAGGGCAGCAGGAACGGGAGTGATCTTGCCAGCTGCAATCTCACTGTGGACAAAGCTCTCGTGGCTTTCAATGCTTCCTGAACCTAGTACTAAACCCTAAACCCTAAATTGCCGAATTTGCTGCTGACATATGACACTCCGGGCGGGTCTCCAGTGTAGTGTAGGTTTTCTTTAGTATTGAGGGTGAGACCCATCCCCTGATTAGCAAACCCCCGCCCGTCGGGATCCAAATACCATTAGGCCGCAATTGGGCCTGTCGAGAAGGGCGGTTTGTTCACTAGGGTTCCACACTACCGTGTTTGGGCCTGTGTGTGTTGGTGACTGTGTGTGTGTGTGTGCGCGCGGGTGAGTGAGTGAGCGAGCGAGTGAGCGAGTGAAGGCGAATGGGCTGCGGATCAGCCAGATGGTTACGGCCGGGAGCTCGGTCGCTAATGTAGATCCCCATAGACCCGTGATTCAGAAGCCCCACTACCGCAGATAAATGTAGCTGTAGTAGGGATTTGAATATTGGTAAGAAGTATCGGGCTAAGTTGCTGGCGTAAGTGGTTGCGTGTTCCGAGTCGGGTTCCCTTGCACTTCGGTGGATCCTTTGAGCACTAGAAATGAGTGCGTGCAGTGTGACACCTAAAGGGTCCATATACCTAAATGGTAAATACTTTGGCTCCCAAGTACCTAGTACATCGGGACTACTTACTACTTTTTAAGGCCCAAGTATATACAAGTACATGTTTTTCTATACACATATTTATATGTACATATATGTCTATATACATGTATACACATATTGTATGGGTACATGATGGTACATGGACCATCATGGACCTTTCGGGATAGGGTGTCATGCTTCTGCCTCAGTCGGGCTCGGGGCCCTCGGATGGTTTAGGGTTTAGGGTTTAGGGTTTGTGTGGGATTCAGGCTTACTCCTTGAAGTCATTCTCGGAAGTTGTCTGGCCCATGAACACCACTACAATGCTAAAGTTCGTAAGGCTGTACTTTCAGTTGGACCCTAAACTCTACATCAGGGACCATGGTATTGGCTCTTAGACTGTCCAATATCGCAGAATTGAGGGATATACCTTTGATCATTAATCTTTGGCATCCTACCGTAATTAAGGTATATTCACTGAGCAACCTAGCAGAAAGTTAACTGTGCTTATGTTCCTTGCCTAGTATATGAGCCACTAGCTGATTAGAAGACGTCCAAAATCTCCGTTCCAAAAAGCGTTGCGAAAGCCTTGAACCAAAAACCCTAGAAGGGGTTTGCGGCAGGGTTCTAAACCCTAAACCCTAAACCCTAAACCCATAGGAGTTCAGGGCCCAGCGAAGCAGCTCCAAGGTGAGGAAACGTGGCCCGACACGTCCAGGGCCTCAGATGGGAAGTCGAAAGGGGAGGGTTTGGGGTACCATGCGGTCCAGGGCCACGATGCTTTTATGAGTGTCTTATGGGATACTTTAAGGCTTCTACACTTGGAGGGTCGGGAGACATAGTAA